ACGGATGGTTGTTAGCCACCATGTGGGTGCTGGGAGTTGAACCAGGGTCCTCTGCAAGAGCAATCAGTGCTCTTAACTGCTTTGCCATCTCTCCAGCCCTAAATTTAGTTTTGGCTAATGAATCCAGTGTGATAATAAGTAGATATTAACTATAAGGGAAAGATGAGTCTTAATATTTTCTTCTTATTGCATTGAAAACAGTTTCTTAATCATTTCTTACTTCTTTTAATTACATAGGAACAATTGGATGTAGCCCTTTCCAAAATCTGCAAGAAACTGCTTTGCCATCTCTCCAGCCCTAAATTTAGTTTTGGCTAATGAATCCAGTGTGATAATAAGTAGATATTAACTATAAGGGAAAGATGAGTCTTAATATTTTCTTCTTATTGCATTGAAAACAGTTTCTTAATCATTTCTTACTTCTTTTAATTACATAGGAACAATTGGATGTAGCCCTTTCCAAAATCTGCAAGAATTTTGACATTAATCATTACACCAAGGTTCAACAAGCTTATCGGCTTCTTGGGAAAACACAGGTTAGTTTTGAAAGGATGCTCACTGTTTTTGTAATTTAGGAACCCATTAAACTTTATGCTTGTTAAAGGCTGACTATTACCAATGGAACGTCCTTCCATAGTTTGATTTAACAACGTATATTTTAATGCTGAATTAGTATTAGTAACGTGGCTATTCACAGAGTTTTACAGTGTGTATGAGGTGAATAAAACATTATAAAACTTTGTTTTGGACTGTGAAGTCTTGTTGGGTTTAATATTTTCACAATTCTACATATAGGAGGCTAATTTGGTTTAATATTTTCACAGTTCTACATATAGGAGGCTAATTTGGGCTACATAGCAAGACCCTTGTCAAACAAACAAACAAACAAATAAACAAAAACATAGAAGGAAGGAGAGATAATTCAATGGAAGATTACATGTAGTCTCTTTTACCTTGACCCTTGTCTTGGGACATGGATCTTAACATGGGGTGTCATGTACTCCTAGTCAGGCTAGCCTGACTTCCTCAAAACGGTGTCTAAACTGTTGCGTACTGGTTACATTTATCTGTAAAAGAGGTCCATTGCATTCAGCAGTTTTTTCAGATCTCCCAGTGCTGTAACTTCTGTGTAACATGTGGCTCTACACACTCATTATTCAAGTTCTTCATGAAAAACTTGAGGCAAAGCCATGGTTTGAAACTTGTGTCTTCTCTTTGTCCTGAGTACGCATGCATTCATTCAGCATTTAAACAGGATGGATACAAGCTTTTTTCTTCTTTCTTTTAAAGGGTCCCCTCTCTTAAAAGGAAATTTAAGACTGCTTACATTTTACATTTTGAGTTGTTGTACCTAGTTAATTTTGATGTCTTACACTTTACCTTGGAAGAAAATGCAAGAAGAAAGACACTTGGGAATTCTGGGGTTGCATGTGAAGATGTTTGGAAATAGACCTATGACTTTTAATTTCCCCCATAAGATGGTTTATGTTAATTAAATATTCATTAATACCTGCTAGCTATATTTCTCCAGGCACTTGAATATCGACCTTCAGGTGCATTATGTTCTGTGAGGAATGTGAACATTATAAGTGAAAATATTATCAGGTGGTATAGAAAATACTGTAAAGAGCTATAAAAAAGAGAAAGCAAAAAATGCTGAGAGAACTTAAATAGGCTAGTCAGGACAGATGTCTCTGAGAAGCTGACCATTGGAGAATGTCCAAATGTAACAGTGAGTATCTGATGTATGATCATCCATGGCGTAGTTGAAAATGAGCAAGGTGAATATTGATTGTGAAGACAGAACAACAGCATCATCTCACAACTCACTTAGCCTGAGTGCTGTGATGTCATAGTTACGAGAAATGTTCATTGCAAGTAATCTGTACCATAGTTAATTCTAAGGATAACACTGACCTTTGTGCTATAGTTATAATTGATGAAGATTTTTTTCCTGAGTGTTTTTTCATACGCATTGAACTTTATTTAAGAAGATGAAATTATATTGTTTATTTTCTTCTTTCCATAGACTGCAATGGATCAGCTTCATATGCACTTCACTCAAGCCATTCACAATACGGTGTTTCAGGTTGTTCTTGGTTATGTGGAACTGTGTGCAGGAAACACAGATACAAAATTCCAGAAGCTGCAATACAAAGACCTCTGTATGGTGTGTAGTGATTACTGTTCATGTCTCTGTCTCTTAGATTTTAAATCAGTAACTTCCTTTTTCTTTGCACTTACCGTTTGAAATGCCTCTAAAATAAAAACAAATATGTCTGCCAAAAGCTTTCTTTCTTTCCTAGTATGGCTCTTTTCTTCCTGGAACAGCTGACAGCTGAACTATGTGGGTGGTAGACGTTGCTGAGACCCGAGTGTAGTAGTGGCTGCACTGACTCCACTCTCCCCGAGCCCTGACTCTTTCATCTCTCTGCTCTCCATTCTCTTCTGCAGTTGCGTCCTGGCTGTTTCTATATGGTCATCTTTGTTCAGTCTTCCTGTGGGCCAGCATGCTGTCTGTTAGTGTCTGTAACAACCTCTTTCTTTTCATTGCTTAAAAAAAAAGCAAAATAAACAAACAAAAAAGAACAACTTGGACTTTCAGGCAGTAGACCCGAACTGGTGAGGAGTAGACATATTCAGGGCCAGTTTTCAAGTAGGTGTGGCTGGTGGGGGCAGAGAGCAGGAGGCCAGGAAGACGATGAACAATTGGGGATTGGTGCATCATTTACTTACCTCAGGAAGGTCAGGCTGTGGCAGAACTGCAGAGGAAAGTCGTACTTCCTATTTAAACCTGTCTTTTATTTTGAGATATCTCACTGTGTAGCCCAGAGTGGCCTTGAACTTGTGATCTGCTCTAGTTTCCCAGGTACTAGAACTATGTGCATGTTCCACTATGCTCGGCCTTTCAGGTACCTGTTAAACACCAAGTGTACACATTGAGGCATTTGGGTAGAAAAGACAAACCTAGGAAGAGCAGGGCTAAAGTTGCCCATTTGGGAGTTATCAGCACCTGCTTGAAGCTACAGCTGTGAGACTGACAAGAAGCCTGGGGAAAGGGAGATGCAGATGATGGAATCATTAAGACTTTATAACATTCTGGATTTAGGTGGTAGAAAAGGAGCTAAAAGAGTCTCAGAAAGGGCAGCTGGCTGAGTAGAATGTCAGCCAAGTGATGCTGATGTGGCCACAGTATGAAGAAGGCAGGTTTGGAGAATGTCACAAGAGTCTGAGTGCAGTGATGTATGCAGTGGGCTGTGTGGTTGCAGTGTGGAGGCCAGAGTTTACTGTGGTCTCCAGCTTGGACTTTCATGTGAAACATTGTGAGTTTTTCAAGTGTCAACTCAGAAAATGACAGTCATGGAAGTAGATATGTATATTTTGTAGTTGTGTTCATAAATTCATATGAAAAGAAGCTAATCTTTATTCAGCAAGTTTGTGAGAAGTACAGGATATTAATAGGTATGTGTGTATGTGTGTGTCTATTAGGAACTAGAGCTACAAATTTTCTGGAAGGGTATGGTTATATTTGATATATTAAGTTCTTAAATTAATAATGACAGGTGTTAATATGGCCTAAATGTCTTTTTAAATAATTTTCTAAATCAAGAGCACTGTGTTATTTTATGGTTATTAACTTTAAGTGTGATATAGTTGCATAATTACATAGTTATCTACTTTAAAAAATATTTTATTATTTTTATTTTATCTGTATGAGTGTGTTGCCTGTGTGTATATTAGTGTACCCGTGTCATGAAATGCTGCGGAGGTAAGAAGAGAGTGTTGGATCCCTTGGAACTGGAGTTAAGGATAGTTCTTAGCTGCCATATGGGTGCTGGGACTCAAACCCCAGTCCTCTGCAAGAACAGTCATTGCTCTTAACTGCTGAGCAATCTATCCACCTCTAGTTATCTACTTTTAAATATATCCATCATTTGATATTTTTGAATTTTGAAATGTTTATTTTACTAATATTTGTTTTAGATTGATAGTACATATCTTAACATTGAAACAGTCACTTTTAATTTTACTAATATAGGTATATCATTGATAGATGATTTAAGTGGTAAAGCAGTTTATTACAGATTAGCAGTCTTTCTGTTGAAACAGAAAAGAATTTTTACTAATTAAAAAAAAACATTTTAAACAGATGAGGTTTTGTGGGTCCAGTCTGTTTGCGCTGGTTAATTATGGTGCTTGTGTCTGTGTGTGAATACTATACGCTTGCATATGCTTTTAAAAGTCAAAGACTTCCTTAGAAGGTCCTCTGCATTCAATTCATGAAACTGAAAGTTGTTCTTCAAAAATGCTTTTTTTTAAAAAATATTTTATTTATTGTTTTTATGTTTTATGTTTTTATGTGCCTGCATGTAGGTAAGTGCAGAAAATGATTTTTTATGAACGAAAAGTTCTCAAGGCATTACCATATTGTGTTTCTTTTGCATTTCTTTCATATTTTTAAAAAAGGTGGCGTTAAAATGGCTTTTTGAAATAACTGTGTATTTAAGTTACCAGATAATGAATCATTTTGGATTTCAACTTGAGTAAATGCTTCTTAAAATTCACCCTAAAAGGGAAATTTCATTGGGTTCCACCTCTAGATGAAGAGCTACAGACAATTGATTTTCTCCAGAGACTAGCTCCCTGGGAGAGTATCTAATCCCAAGTGGGCAGTCCTAAACTACAGGTATACATGAGCACTACCAAATGGACTCAGTGTAGAGTGTGTGTGTGTGTGTGTGTGTGTGTGTGTGTGTGTGTGTGTGTGTGTGTGTGTGTGTGTATGTATGTGTGTGTATTTATAAATGCATGTATATGTAACAATAGTAATCAAAGAAGTGGACAAGAAATTAAGAGGGATTTGGGGAGACATGGAGTCCTTGGGCTTGGGAGGGGGACTAGGAAAGATTGAAATAATGGAAATATACTCATGTATGAAATTCTCAAAAAAAAATTAAAGTTGATGAATTATAAGAAAAAGTCCCCCTAAAAACTTTTGGTATATCATTACAAAAGTGGCCATATATATGTGATAGTTGGTGAACTATGTATATTAACTACTTTAGTTCTTTATTAGAACCAGTGCCAAAGAAAACAGGCCACAGATTGTAATAGGCATCACAGTCTGCCTTGTCATGGTAACTCTTTTCTTCAAAAGAAATTTCTGCATGAAGCCATCAGTAACTTTGCTGCTGTTTACCATACTTCACACCAAATCTACTTCAGCTCATATTTTAACAGAACTTTAATACAAACTGGAAGTGCAGCACTGTGAATAATATGTGTGTGTCTGAATGTGTACTTGTGTGTTTTCTATGATGAAGCTCTGGAGAGATATTATTTATCTTCAGTTCACTTTGTTAACTAGTTGGATGAAAAGATACGAACTTTTAGTAACTTGGGTCTATAGAAGATGATGGCTACCTCAAGAAAGTAAAAATAGAGGGTCTTTTATAGTTGAAAAGTAAACTGATGAAAGTTTAAACACATTTTCCTAGTGGTAACAAGTAAGGCTCTGGAATGACATCACTCAGAATAGGGAGGCAGTTGATGAGAGTCTTGTATATAGAATGTGAAGTTTTTAATTATTTGACAGTGGGGCTTCATTTGAGCCTCTGGGTAAAAGTAAATGATGGTCATTGTGTGAGAGGAAACAGCCATGGATGTGAGGGAAACAGGAAGCAGCAGAGTCCCCTGTAGAGAAATGGAGGGCTCTGGCTGGCATACTCTGGAAGCAAGATGGGCAAGCCTAGGCATTTTATAGTTCACGTCACTGTACTGTAGTAATATTGTGAAGGAAGCACTTAATCATAAAGTGAGTTTAAAAACATTAGAAATTTAGATAATTGAAAAGTACAAAGTAGCAGGGAGGTAGACATCCCTCCAAACAGGAAAAATACGCTTCCTTAAATTGGAAAGAGATTGGAAGTGAAAAGAGGTCATCACTGTATAGTTTATCCATGGCATTATTGTCAGCCGCTTTCAGATGTCTGCCTAAGGGAGAAGGAGTGAGATTGAGCTAGTTTGAAAAAAATCTTCCTTTTACAATGAAATTGGAAGCAAAATGTGTGTCCTATTTTTATTAACTCTGATAAACTATCTCAAGGTTTGTAAGCCCAGTGGTATCTGTCTGGAACTATTATAAAATCTCTACTGTCTGTTTGCTCTTCTTATAGAGTGAGGCATACAACTGCCAGCAGAAACAAAATAATTTATTGGCCGAAAACCATTTGAAATCTTCCTAAACCCCAATGCTTAGTTTGATACCATTCTCATATTTAAATATTGCCTTACACTGTCATTTCAGACAACATAGCATTTTATCACTTGACACTTTGAAATTTATTTTCTGATTATACATGCTTTGCTTGTTTTATAATTTAGTCACATATTTGATTAAGGCCATTTGTCAGCAATTAGAAAAAAACTAAGACTGATGTTAAAGAAGTCCTTTCTGTTGCTAGTCATTTAGTTCAAAGTGGGACTCCCTGCACTGTACGTCTTATGTTGTCTTTTTGTTTGTGTGCTTATGGAGCATTAATGACAAAATGCCTAGTAGTTAAGAGTGACAGTGTTTCCCTATGTTTGTTTTTAAGTCAGGAATCCATTCAGGTTTAAGTGTCATAGAGATTCTCGTGATATGTAGGAGCCATGACCAAGGAAGTGACACAGTTGACCCCAAGCCAGAGAAGTTTGGCCCAGCTCTGTGTTCTTTCTGCTGGTGGTTAGGGTGTACTTAAGATATCAATATTATGTACAACTTGGTAAATATAGAAGTAATTAAAGACTCAAAGTAGAGGGGGTATTCTATAATGCTTTCCTATATATTTATCACCTCATAGGTGATTTTAAAAAGCTCACTGAGCATAGTGCTGTTTTGACCAGCAGCATCTCAGACCAACATTTTCTGATGGGAACTCCCAATGGAACAGCACTTTTCTGATGACACTGATGACCCTGTATGATCCTGTGGTGGATTTTTTTTTTCCTTAAAAAAAAAAATTGTGTGTGTGTGTGTACACGCACTGTGGATTTTGGATCTTTGTAAGATACCATAGCACCTGTTCTTTGCATGTTTGTTAGGATGTGAGTAGAGTGCTAAATTTAAATATGAAACAAGAGCCAAAAAAAGATGCCATAAGGATACCCCTAAGAATTTCCATTTTGATGTTTTCATATCAAAAGCATCTTCCTGAATACCTATAGATATCTAATAATAGGGATTTCAATTTTGTTGTTGTTGTTGTGGTTGTTGTTGTTGTTGTTTTTAAGATATCTAACTGGCAGTCTCTTATTTACTACTTTGCATTGAAGCAACTTTGAAAATATGATATTCTTTTCATTGTATTCTTCAAGTTCAGAAAGATTGCTTATCTTTATGGCTGGTTTTACATTGTATTTGCAAATCACTGTGTACTGTTTATAATTAAAGCTACCATGGTGTCGCTTTTGATAAGTTGATGTCTTCATTTTAGTTTAGTTTCTTGGAGATGGTTAATAGATGGAAGGTGCCCAGGCTTTCTCTTAACCGATACTGGTGAGATGGGAGGTCAGATCTGTGGACTTTCAAAGTGATTAATCAAGATAAGAGTAAGGAGCCTGCTGCTTCCAGTGCGTAAGCTTGGTGGAAATGTGTGGAACATTTTTTGCCTTATCAGAACCAGGCTTGCAGATCTCCAAATCCTATACTGCAGGGTATTTGTTACCTTTCACACTCACCAAGTTTATGAGACATGTATGTGTTCCGTAACATATAGGTTGTCAAATTTTTTTCTCTAAGAGTCACGTTATTTAAAATATTTCTTTTTTTATATGAAAAGATATCCCTCAAAGGCTCTGCATTTCTTCCTTTGCTCTCACTGTACCACCTGTACTGAAAGGGAGGTAGTGTGTGACACAGAGAAATACTGGTAAATTAAAATTTCTGTTGCCATTCTTAACCTAAAGAAAATTAAAGACGTAATTAGTCCTTGGGGTGTTTTACTCTATGAATATTTTCTGAACTGATCCATTCAAGACTTTGATTGCTATTTTCCATCTGTGATATAAACATAGAATTGTAATTTCAGTATAGTGCTCCACAGGCTATTCCTGGTCTTAGTGGACCAGTGACCCAGAACTGGAGCTGTGTTTCAGTGTTAGGCCTTTAGTAACTGATGACTGACTTAAGCAAGCGATGACATCAGAGGATCCAGTTTCCTCTATCTTTTACAAAATGTGAAACAGATCCAAAGTGGTTTGTTGTCTAGATGAAGTGACTGGCAAGACATGAAAGCAGTGCCAGTTGGAACCAGGGCCTCCAGTTCCTTAGCTGGATCTTTCCCATCATGCTTTGCAGAGCTGAAGATTTGATTTTGGGATAGAAGTTGTACAGGCTGTCGATTGAGACACTGAGGTCTTTTTCTTTGCCTGCCCATATCTTTTAATTACTTATGTAATTATTCACATATTTTTCTGTTTGTTTATCCATGCCTGTGTGATAAGGTTTCCTATGAGATCTGGAAGAGTATTTTCAAAACATTTTTTTTTATTCTTTGACAGTTTCTTATGGTTATGATGCAATGCATCTTAATGACGAGCACCCTAACTCTCCTCCTACTTTCCCCAGACCCCACCCGCAGAGGCCTCTCTCACTTTCATGCCCTCTTATTCTTTTTTCTTTAATTTATAATTCATTGAGTCCTGTTAGTGCCTCCTGCATATACATGGGCACCCTACCTGAGGCTGCAGCCCCAGAGAGAAGTGATTTCCCTTCCACAGCAGCCATCAGTTCAGTAGCACCTCAGCTAGGGATGGAGCCAATGAGCTCCTTCCCAATTCATGCTGCAATCATTGACTTAATTGATCTTACGGTTTTTAGATAGGTAACCCCAGGTGCTATGAGTTTATTAGTGCAACAGCCATAGCCTGTTTCAGAAGAGAGTATTTCACAGTACTCCTTTATCCTCCAGTTCTTTCCCTTCTTTCTGCTCCTTCTTCTGCAGTGTTGATATAGATGTCTCATTTAGGGCTGAACACTCAGCAGTCACTTATTCTCCCACTTTGACCAGTTTTGAGCCTTTGCATTGATGGCTGCCCACTGCAGAAAGAAGCTTCTCTGACCAGTGCTGAGATCAGCACCATTCTGTGGGTATAAATATATTTAGAATGCACTTTGACAACATGTCCATTTAGCAGAACAACAGTATTAGTTTTTCTCTGTCCAGGCCTATGACCTTCCCCAGCCCGACTTTTGACTAGGCATAAATTCCTTTCAGTGGAATAGGCTCAAATCCAATCAGACAGCATTGGTTACTTCCATAACCATATGCCATTGCTGTTCCTGTGTGCACACCTTGCTTGGCAGATTGTTATTGCTGCATGCAGGGTCTTCTGAGGAGTTAGTTAATAGATGACTTTCCTCCCTCACTGGACTGCATAGTACCTTTCAACACTGAAAGCTAGCCAGCAGGCAGGAGTTTCCAGGTCAGTTCCAGCTTTGATTTTAGAAGTGCTTTTTATGAAGTAACCAGAATTAGAATGTACAGGTTACAGATAATTTTGTTTCCTGACTGATTTGTTTACTTGCTTTTTTTGTTTGTTTGTTTTTTTGAGACAGGGTCTCATTATATGGCTGGATTTGAACTTGTAATGCTCCTCCCTTAGCCTCCTGGGTGCTAGAATTATAGGTGTCTGCCATCATACTTGGCTTGCAAATGATTTTAAGTTCATGGTTAAGAAGCAGTTGTGTGAGTTGATGCCAGTTGGTTGAAGGGTATAGTGGAAATGATCCAGTATTAACACAAACTGACTGTTATTGCCAGCATAATTTGCAAGTACAGAGATGAACATATCAGAATGTGTGTGTGTGTGTGTGTGTACATGAAACGTCTTTTAAAAGATCCCAATTGCCTTTTTAGAAAAATTTTATTATTTTTATTTTATGTGTATGAGTGTATTGCCTGCATGTATGTGAGCTTACCCATGTCGTGCAATGCCGCGGAGGTCAGAAGAGGGTGTCGGATTCCCCTGGAACTGGAATTAAGGACGTTTCATAGCCGCCATGTAGGTGCTGGGAATTGAACCCAGAACCTCTGCAAGAGCAGTCAGTGCTCTTAACCGTTAAGCCATATCTCCAGCCCCTACCTTTCTTTTTTTAAAAAAATAATTATTTTTATTTTTTTATGCATATGCATGTATTGCCTGCACGTAGGTAAGTGTACCTGTGTCGTGCAATGCCTCTTTCTTAAATGTATCATATATTTATTTAGTAACATTGTCTCTACAATTTTCTATTTTAGAATATGAACTTAGATAAAAATTATCTTGCTATCTGGTGGCAAATATATTATGTTGTTATGCTTGTACGTATATGTATGTTTAATAAAGTTTAAATTCTTTTGGGAGACTTTTAGACAGGATCAGTGGTTTAGCTGATCTGTGAATCATTTGTACTTAAATCAGTGACAAAAAAGCTTGCTATAATTCTACCATGTAATTTTCAGCTGTTTTTTGAAAAGAAAAATCACAGATACGTTCATTTGTACATACCTTGCTGCATTCATTAAATTTTGTAACATAGGAAAGGCGTCCCTTTTCCTCAGACTGGGTAGAGTAGAAGGTAGTAGGTCTAAGTTTTAATTTTCTGGTTTGATAAACTGTGACACATTATTGTGGAAGTTAAGTGGTTGATTATACCAGTTCCTTGTACAGTCCTAATGTTTGCTTGGAAAAAAATATGACTATTACCTCCTTTTATCTACCTTAAGGAATGTTATGGATATACTTAGGTTAATTTGCATAATATAAATACAAATTTATGCAAAATTGGATTTATGAAAGTTTAAAACATTGTCCTGGAGAGGGGTTTCTGTGTTTGATTGCTGAGTAATAGCCTGGAATTTTTTTGTGAGTTTTATTTTCCTTGAACCATGGAGTGGCACGAGAAGCACGGCAGTGAGGAGACTGTGCCATATGTTTTTAATATTTCTCTTACCCTGTTTATCAGCATGGGATTTTGATGTTTATGCGCTAGAAGAGTCAAATAAAGCATGAGAAATTATTCCAAATCATTTTTCATAGATGTGTAGTATTCTTTTATGTGTATGAGTGATAATTTCTTCTACTTATCCCCTGCATTTGGAGATTTAGATAGACTTCAGTGTTCTTCATTATACACTTTGTTTAGGTATGTCTTCAAGATAAATTTTTAGAACTGAGGTTACTGGATTGAAGGGAAATACTTGTGCCGATTTGTTCGATGGTGCCAATTCCATCCTTGAGATTGTATCATTTTACACGAGCGGTGCATTAGAGTGATTGTAAATCCAGTCACCATTTTGCTAGCTGTGACTCAGGTCCAAGGGTAAATATAAAGCCTTGTTTATATGTCTTTGAAAAAGTATACAGTATGTTTACAATCCTATTGGAGAGCACTTACCAATTCAGTGATTTCTTGAATACTGCGGTTCTGTGACTACAGTTAATGCATAGTATGTGGGCTATTATTAGTAATCAGTAATAAAAGTTGGGTTGAAATGGGAATTACTTGAAAAAAATCTTTTAATATTGCTTTCTTTTTCTTATACCAGTGGAAGGAATTTCCTTAGTCATAATTTTTAATCGATTTGATTAATAATACATTTATTTTGATTAGCTACAAGTATTTAAGTAAATATAATATTCAGAAATTGACTTTTTCACTTTCTTCAGCATGTTACACCAGACAGCTACATTCCTTGCCTGGCGGACCTATGCAAAGCACTGTGGGAAGTCATGCTCAGCTATTACAGAACCATGGAGTGGCACGAGAAGCACGGCAGTGAGGAGACTGTGTCATTGCCTGGTGGGAAATGATTCTGATTTTATTTTAAAATTGAGCTATAAAATATACCCCATTTCTGGAGTAAGACTAAAGAGCAGGGACAAGGTGTGCCTTTAGGATTCGGGGTTTTCAGTGGCCGTGGATTAGATAGTCAGCAAAGGTCATTTGGCCACTGCAGAAACTCCATTATCTTTGGAGATTAACTAAGCCAAAGGACTTTTCCAAGACATGCTACTATACCAGGCACCCATAGTATCAGTTATGAGGGTTACATGCTGCTGACCTAAGTGCTGAATTACTTTGAAAACTCTCTTTTAAAATTTTACTTTGAAAACTCTTTTTTAGAATTTTAAAATTTGTTTTTATGTGTGTGAGTGTATTGTCTGCATGTAAGTGCACCCATGTCACGCCATGCCCCTGGAGGGCAGAAGAGGGCATTGGATTTCCCTGTAGTTACAGATGATTGTTAGTTGCCCTGTGGATGCTGAAAACTGAACCCAGGTCTTCTGCAAGAGCAGCCAGTCATCTTATCCACGAGCTATCTCACCATCTCCAGTCCCTGAAAACGCTATCTATCTATCTATCTATCTATCTATCTATCTATCTATCTATCTATCTGTCTGTCTCTGTCTGTCTCTGTCTGTCTGTCTGTCTGTCTGTCTGTCTATCTATCATCTATCATCATCTATCTTCTATCTATCATCTATCTCTATGATATATGTAAATATATATGTATATTTGTTTAGCATTATTAATTGCAAAGTTGATAGACATTGGTGTTTTTGAATTTACTAGGAAATCAGTGCTAAATATTTTTTAATTTATTTGCTAACTTTCAAGTTGTGAAATAAAGCTAGATTTTTGAGAATTAATTATATTGTTACTTTACTTCCTAAAAACACAGGAAGACTTAGTGTTATGAAACTTTAAAATAGCTCGTTGTGGTGGCATACATCTTTAGCCCAGCACTGGAGAGGGAGAGGCAGTCAAATCTCTGAGATTGAGGCCAACCTAGTCTATATAGCATGTTCCAGGTCAGCTGGGGCTAGGGAGACCCTGTTAAAAAGCAAATAAACAAACAAAAATTATAAAAAATATTCGGGAGCTGGCTCCATGGTTAAGGGCATTGGCTGATCTTGCAAAGGACCTGCATTTGGTTTCCAGCAGCCAAGTGCACATGGTGTCTTACAACCACACTTAAGACCATTCTACCCTTGAGTGCACTTATATACATGCATCCAAAACACTTATACACATACAATAAAAATAATGAAAATAATTTAAAATATTAATCTTTGTATGAAAAATAAAGCTGTAACTATGCCACAAACAGCTAAATAATAAGTATGAAATTCAAATATTTACTAGTCATCCTATTTATATTATATATCTTAAGTGATCCTCTTTGAACAATAGCATTTAAGCATTCCAACTAAAACTCTCACACTGTAGTTAAGATACATTGCCCTAAGCTGCAGGTTCCTGGCAACTAGATCCTAGGAGTGCTCAGAGGTAGGCTGTGCATGAATTTGTTGTCTGGTTGTGCAAGAAATGTCTTTTCCTAGTAAGCATTAGATAATTTGCTAGCCTGAGAGGTGAGAATAGCCTATTATTTACCTTGCTGACTTTAATATAAATGTATATATGTGATTTTCAGGGGAAAGTTTGTTTTAAGGAGTAGCATAATCTTACCTTTTAGATAGGATATTGTTAGATCATTTATCTGGAATAATTAATATCATTGCTTATTCTGAAAAACATAAACTCATGCAGAATTACTTCACTGCATGCTTAGTTCTCCATTCCACTCTTGTTGGCTTGTGTATTAGTTAACACTTGAGTTTATTGATTCTCTAGTGCCCAGGCATTCTCTGTCACATGTTCTAGAAGTAGGCAGTGTGTGGCCTCTGTCTGCATTGCTTTCATGGGAATCCTAACTCCAGTCCTGTGTGAGCTGAGTGGTCTTAGGTGTATTTAGTGTTTCCATGTCAAAGGTTATCTATGTATCAAGTGGGTTTAATCCTAATGCCCACTTTTCCATACTGTTTTGAGTGGACACAAACTGAACATGATTTTTATATCTTGTGTTATTTCATGAAAATGAGAGATTAAATAGAAATTATTTAGGGAAAAAAAGCACACTGAATAAAAACATATCTTTTATTTTCAGAAGGAAGTAATTTATTGGGTACTGAAGAAACCAATTTTGATCGTGGCTATGTAAAAAAGAAGTTAGAACATGGGCTTACACGAATATGGCAGGTTTGGGTTTTTTAAAAATTATTTTTAATAGAAACTCATGTCAGAATTGTTTTAGTTTTTAAATTTTCCGTGTTTGTAGTCTTTGCAGGTTTAATAATGTTACTTTTTTTCTTTGGAATAAGACTATCATTTAATTTAATTTTTGTAATTAGTTGGCAGTTATATAAACTACAAAGAACTTTAGAGAGCTGGGCTTGGTGGCACCTGCCTATAATCCTAGCACTTGGGAATCAGAGGGAGGCGGATCTCTGTGAGTTCGAGGCCAGCCTGGTCTACATAGTGAGTTCTAGGCCAGCTGGGGCTACAGGGGGACCCTGTCTCAAAAAAATAAAACAGAACAAAACAAACAATCAAACAAACAAACAAAAAAGAACACATTAGATCCCTGCTTTTAGAGTCCTTAAAAATGATTTTTTTTTTTCTTCCCTCATTGAGCTTCATTCCTTTGAGGGAATTCTCTATACTTACTACTGAATTCAGACTGATGTAGGTATACTCCCTTTGGGCTGCTATAATTAAATACCCTTGATGGACTGCTTGCAACTATAGAGATTATTTCCCATAGTTCTGAGGCTGGGAAATTTAAGATTTTTTTTCTCCCCTGTTAAGTTTTCACTACTTTCTGGATAATTCTACCTCTTCCTTCTTCACTTGCCAAGTGACTTTGAAGGAAGGTAGACCTTCAGTCAAAGCTTTCCTGTGTCAGCCACTGGACATGTGAACTTAGATGATTATAGTACTTGACCTCTCTAGCCTGTCCTTCCTCCAGGGGTATGAGTGCCTGCTTGACAGGTTGTTTTTATCCCATATATATAGTTATTAGCATGGTGTTTCACAATAGATATGTACTCTGAAAACAGAAGTATTTACAACTGTTTTTGAAGCCATTGCATGTATTATATGTATGTGTGTGTGTGTGTATATATATATATATATATATATATATACATACATATATATAAAACGTAATATTTCTGG